GATCTTCGATCCTCGTCTGATCGTGAAAGGAGAAGGGCTGCTTTGGCAACTTCTTTCTTTTTTTACCCGAAGGGCTTCAGTTCTCTGTTGATCGGAGAAGGATGTTGAACGGAAGCAACACCGAATTGGGGGTCTTTAGATTGTTGTTCTGATCGACAGGAAAAATGGAGGAAGGAGAAAGGTTTTTTTACTCTTTGATGGCAGCAGAAAAATTCAACGAGAGAGAGAGAGAGAGAGAGAGAGAGAGAGAGAGAGAGAGAGAGAGAGAGAGAGAGAGAGAGAGAGAGAGAGAGAGAAAAGTGGGCCCTTTTTTTATTTTTTTAATTGTTAAAATAAATAAATAAGTATTAAAGTTTAAGAAAAATGAAAGAAAAATGAAAAATAAATACCCCAAGGGTATTATAGTCATTTCAATTTTCGGAGGGACCATTTTCACATACAAACCACTCCAAAAGGACCATAAATCCAAAAAACTCGGGGTTTGGACTAAAACCCCAAAAATTTACATACCACAGGGACCATTTTTGCAATTTTGTCTAATTTAAAAGTGTTTATAGAATACGAGATGCTACACCAGCATCAAATGAAGGATTTTCAACTGCCAACAGAAGTTACATGCTACTTTCATTAAAAATGTTATCATACACCAAATTTCTGAAATTTTGATCCATTTATATCGGTTAAAAGTACCAAGTTAACTAGACTTAAAAGTAAGTATAATATTATAATTTTTTCCCTATACAACCAGCTTACTTATTTAATATTTTTAGTCAGAAAGTTGTCACATGTAACAGTATTATTTTCGAAAAATATTATGTCCAAATAATATTTGTCCATAAATTATAAAACGAAACCCCTAGCATGTTCCATGCATCAACCACGTCTAAATCACAAGGCTTCTCTAGAACCCTCCACTTTCTTCTATTTTCTTCCTATCGCCCATAATTTCTCAATTCTTCTGTACTGATTATAATAAACCCTTTCACCTCACTCCCATACACACTCATCTATTCAACTGCTTAGCAATTAGCATTCTTGATTTCAAAACACACCAAGATTCAATTCATCCAAATGTCTGCAACAACTCTATCCCCTTCTTGTTCCTTCAAACCCCACATCATCGATCGTAGCTCTAATCCAAGAACGTCTTTTTTCGGCAAACCCACATCGTATAGCCCGAGATCATGGACGTTGAGACCTCAAAGGCGACGCGTGTTGAAGGTCGTGAGCGAGAAGGTGGTGGGAATTGATCTGGGTACGACGAATTCCGCGGTGGCTGCGATGGAAGGAGGGCAACCGACAATAATTACGAACGCCGAGGGGCAGAGGACGACGCCGTCGGTAGTAGCGTACAGTAAGAATGGAGATAGGTTAGTTGGCCAGATTGCGAAACGGCAGGCGGTGGTGAATCCGGAGAACACGTTTTTCTCTGTGAAGAGGTTTATTGGGAGGAAGATGATGGAGGTCGATGAAGAATCGAAGCAGGTTTCTTATAAGGTGATTAGAGACGATAATGGAAATGTCAAATTAGATTGCCCTGCTATTGGAAAACAATTCGCCCCTGAAGAAATTTCTGCACAGGTACCCACTTCAATTCATCTTCATCGATCTTTATTATCGTTTAATTCAATGGAATTCGTCTTTTCATTCGACGAATTGTTCAATTTAGGTGCTGCGGAAGCTCGTGGATGACGCATCTAAGTTTTTGAGTGATAAAGTTACGAAAGCAGTGGTAACAGTGCCAGCATATTTCAACGATTCCCAAAGAACTGCAACCAAAGATGCAGGACGAATTGCAGGTATTGAGGTTCTTCGCATTATCAATGAGCCAACTGCTGCTTCATTGGCGTATGGTTTTGAGAAGAAAAACAATGAAACAATTCTAGTCTTTGATCTTGGTGGTGGAACGTTTGATGTTTCAGGTAATTTTCCCTTTCTCATCTGTGAAATTATGATTACCTAAATAGTTCTAGTTCTACCCTTGCGCCATTGATAATTTACATTCATCTCTATGCAGTGCTTGAGGTTGGTGATGGTGTTTTTGAGGTACTTTCAACCTCAGGAGATACCCATTTAGGAGGAGATGACTTTGATAAGGTTAGGAATTTGGATCATGTCGCGTGTGACAAATACATTCTTGATAACCAAATCTCTAACATGATTCTTGAATTTTAAACAGAGAATTGTTGATTGGCTTGCTGAAACTTTCAAGAGGGATGAAGGTATAGATCTTCTTAAAGATAAACAAGCGCTTCAACGTCTCACAGAAACTGCTGAGAAAGCAAAGATGGAGTTATCCACTTTGACCCAAACTAATATCAGGTAGATGATGCATTTTCAGTATTTTTTTTACTCTGGTTTTTTCATTGTAAGTTTTCCGATCATGGGTTCTGTTTTTTGCAGTTTACCTTTTATTACAGCAACATCAGATGGCCCAAAACATATTGATACTACACTAACAAGGGCAAAGTTTGAGGAGTTGTGCTCAGATTTACTAGATAGGTACTTGAGTAAATTTGTTTTCTTGATAATTCAAGTAATTGTCACTCTTCAAGATGATAACTTTCGAAAACCAATTTGTTTGGCATAGGCTAAGAACGCCTGTTGAAACAGCTTTAAAAGATGCAAACCTCTCTCTGAAAGATCTTGATGAAGTGGTTCTTGTTGGTGGATCAACACGTATCCCTGCTGTTCAAGAGCTTGTTAAAAAGATGACATCTAAAGAACCAAATGTCACAGTCAATCCAGATGAAGTTGTTGCTCTTGGAGCTTCAGTTCAGGTCTGTATATATCCTATCTATACTCCAATTTTCAACAACAGTTTACGAAAAGGTCATGACGATGTTGCCTTTTGTAATTTTAGGCTGGTGTTTTGTCTGGAGATGTGAGCAATATTGTGTTATTAGACGTGACACCATTGTCGCTGGGTTTAGAAACCCTAGGAGGTGTGATGACGAAGATCATTCCAAGAAACACGACACTCCCAACCTCCAAATCAGAAGTTTTTTCAACAGCAGCTGATGGTCAAACGAGTGTTGAAATCAATGTTCTTCAAGGGGAAAGAGAATTCGTACGTGATAACAAATCTCTTGGCAGCTTTCGATTGGATGGAATCCCTCCAGCTCCACGTGGAGTCCCTCAAATCGAGGTCAAATTTGATATCGACGCCAATGGTATCCTTTCAGTCACAGCCATTGACAAAGGAACAGGAAAGAAACAGGACATTACAATCACTGGTGCTAGCACATTGCCTTCGGACGAGGTATGATTTAGGGTTAATTTACAACGTGATATGCTCTGTTTTGGGTATATTGATAGAGGAAATTTTTGTTGTTATTGTAGGTGGAGAGGATGGTGGCAGAAGCTGAGAAGTATGCGAAGGAGGATAAGGAGAAGAGGGAAGCCATTGATACAAAGAACCAAGCTGAATCGGCTGTGTATCAGTGTGAAAAGCAGCTGAAGGAAGTGGGAGAGAAGGTACCTGGTGAAGTGAAAGAGAAGGTGGAGGCGAAGTTGAAAGAGCTTAAAGATGCGATATCTGGTGGGACAACTCAGAGCATGAAGGATGCCATGGCTGCGTTGAATCAAGAAATGATGCAGGTTGGTCAGGCTATTTACAGCCAAGGTGGTGGTGGTGGTGCTGCTGCTGCTGCGAGTGGTGGTGAAGCTGGTAAGGCGTCTGGTTCTAGTGGAGAAGGTGATGGTGAGGTTATTGATGCTGATTTTAGTGATAGCCAATGAGGTGGAATATGTGTGTTACTCTGTAAAGATGTATAGGTGATTTGTAGATTGTTTTGTGGTTTTGGTTCCACTGATTTAATCGCAAAACTGTAGTTTGTTAATATGATTTTGTTGTGAGGAAAGGAATCTAGACATCTAATAGGCTATAGTTTGTAGAATTAAAAAAATCAAAATAAAATGATTTGAATTGAAACACAGCTAAAGTTTCTTGATGAATGAACACGCTAAAGTTTCTTGGTGCATGATCTAGTCCCCTAATTGGTTTAAGTGCTCTATTTGGTTCTTTTAACGTAGAGAGAGCTAAAAGCTTTATAATATGGATTAAGGTTATATATTAAAACATCAAACTTTTAAATTGTGTCTATTTGTCATTTAAGGCCATTTAAATTTTAAGATGTCACTAAGGGCATTGTACCACAATGTAGTTCAATATCTATAAAGATTAATGGATTTCTATATTTGATTTGAAATTTAATTGAAAAATACCATTGAACCATTTGATAATCATGTAACTCTCTCATTCAACTATCATCCATGTCATCACTCATACTCCATTAAACTTTTATTCAATCATAGTCATCATCTATTCAATTCTTATTAAACTCTCATTATGGATGTTCTAAGGTTACTTGACGGTGAGTCCATCCAAAATTTTAAAGTTGAAGTATGTGAGATTCAAACATTGATCAACTCCTTTGAAGTATTTAACTTCCAATAAGTTTAAAGCAAAAAACAAAATACATAGAGGTGCTCAAAATACTTGCTTAAATTCGAGCCATGTCGAAATGAGAGGCAGAATATTGTGGACTCATTGGAACAGCCAAGGTATGGGCTTGAACGCTGGCCCAATCTTTGTCTAGACTTAGTAATATTTTTCAATTTCAATTAGTTTATTACTAGTATATTTTAAGAATGTGTTTGTTGATTGCTTGGTCTCGAAGCTCATACTGTTTTGCAACCTCCTCATAACTCATAGGTCATACCTCCTTGATTTAGGGTAGTGGGGTATAAAAGGGTTTAGGTATTTGGCTATAGATAGGATCAGTAGAATATGTCTAATTAAGATTTGTAATTTATGACCTTGTTAATTATTTGCTAATAAAAACATTAAACATTTTGTCCAAAATTTCTCCCTCTCTTTTCTGTCTTGCAGACTTGAAAACACACAGCCACATACGAAATCGGTCCCTGTTTTTAACCCCCAATCAGCCCTATTTTTGGTCTAAAATTTCGCTTTCCATATTGGAGGCCGGTTTCATCGCACTAATAATTTGTAACGTATATTAATTAAGGTTCGACATTGTAAGTATAAATAAGGTTAAATTGAAGGCGAATATATTTAAATCACATCTTGATCATAGCCTAAAGATCATCCATCTCACGAAAAAATACAAAGAAACACAGATTTCTTCATAGTTAATTAGGTGGACATAGATGTGTTGAACACTAGAGATTCGCCAGTTGTTGAATGTTGATGGGATAAACAACATCAGTACCACCACTGAAAGCCTTCCTCCCCATCAACACATTCACTGCTTCTGTTGGATGGAACGCATCCCAAAACACATACTCGTTCCTATTCGGACATGGTGTTTGAAATGGTAAACATGTTATCTGCCCTCTGTTTCTCCCTATTCCACAACATCCCCTATTCACCACTCGAAAACCTGCATATATACTTGGTGTTTTAATTAATACATGGAAAAAGGAAAACAAGGTCGTGCATGGTGGCTCATACCATAAGATCTAGCGTTTGCTAGAATATCTTGGAACATGTTATGAACGTCGATGAAAACGAATCTAGAACCAGGAAGATTTGCGCTTAGGTTGTTGATCATGGTCTTCATGTTTGCATTGAAAGGTAGGACAAGCTGATTTACTTCATCGGAGCATCTTCCTGTAGTACCTTGCGCTAAGATGCTAGGAATACAACCCATCAACCCTAGCCCCGCTAGAACAAACTTCCGAGCTCCAAGATTGTAAAGTTGCTATATTATATTCAACAAAACAAAACCAAACTTAATTCCAATTAATACAAATGTACAAATGTGTTTACGAAGCTTAATTATAAAGTTTAAGAACTTACACGAAGTTGAATAGTGTATTCTTCGGACAAAAGATCAGCATATTGGTTGCCATCGTACTGATTGCGAGTAGGGTAATTGGGCATGAGATAATTGTTTAAATAGTCATTACTTCCCATTCCTACAAAGAAAATGCAACGAGAGAGGGCCTGACCAAGATTTGCTCTACCCAATGCATCACTTATTTGATCCAAACTATTTTCGAAGTTCTTTATCTGTTGATTAAACGGGATTCTACCCACCTACACTCAAGAATTATCCGATTAGCACGACACATATACCACTTTTAGAAGTCGCTAAAATGATGAGTTAATTATGACCACCCATTATTATCCAAATCTACCTTTAAAAAGCTAAACAACTTGCACCTACCAGTACCTTAAAGTTGGTAACTTTAGCAACTATAGAAGATAATCTTGATCTATCAAACTAAGGGAAATATTGAGCTTACAAAATTTCGGCCTGTGATGTCGAGAATTCCAGCTGCAGCAGATGCGAAATTGACACCATGAAGCATTTGATCTGCTGAACTCGAAGCTTGCGAATAGGCTGGTATAAGTGGCAATCCCAGTAGTTCCGCTGCATTACAAATCCCACATTTTAGAGATCTATATATATACTCGAAGAAACACACACACACACACACACAGAGGATACGAACCTATAGCATCAACCATGGTGAAACCGTTAGAGAATCGGCCTGTAGGACCTCCATTAAAGTCAATGCCATAAGGGAAATAATTGGCTTTAGCTAAAGAAGCTAAGTCGTTGTTGTTTCCATTGTCAATGAGTGAGTCTCCAAATATGAACATTGCCGGCACCATTTCTGTAGCTGCTGCTGCCGCCACTGCCTCCGGCGCCGCTGCGTCAAAAACGCCACCACCATCTTGGTAATCTTGTCCACAGACTACATGATTCCCACGACTTAACAACGTCATTCCAGTTACCAACAGTACCCATAATAAGCAACCCATACTCATTCGTTAGATTTTCTGTGTCGCTTGTGAGAAAGAGGAAGTGGAAAGTGAAAGTGGAATTGGGATTCACAAAAACTTGGCTGTGGGGGTAATTATAAAGGGAAATTTACTAGCGGTGGTTGAAGGTTATTAAATGTTTTCACCTGTAAATTTTGAATAGCAGTAAGTGTGGCCTGCACCTTTTGTTATCTCTTTACCACTGGCCATTCTTGATCATTATGTTGGGGGTTGTACGTAGGCACAGGTTATGTTTGCTCCAATATTACAAAAAAAAAAGTGTTTTGTAGTTAATTTCATAAAAAAAAAAAGTACGCAATCACTGAAATGCATGAATACTAGACGAACTGTTTTTCAGAGATATATATTCCATTTTGTAAGACAACGTCAAGTAATTAAGGTGTCGCAAAAATCTTGGCTCACCATTTACGACCTGTCCAATTTTAAGACCCGTGATTAGCTTCTTCAAGGAGACTGTAAAATGGCTGGTGAGTGGTGATGAGCCGTAATTAAGTTAAGTTATTTGGTTTTTTTTCTCATTTCGGTTATAATTTTACTATTTTAGGTGTTGAATGGTATATTTTAGTAAGAATTTAATTAGTGAGAGTAAATGAGGGAAGGTGTTGGGAGATGCGTTGGGAATATAAATGTAAATGAAGAGGGAAATTGCATGTGGGAGCAACTAACGGCATGTAAATTGCATGTTGATTCATATGCCGACGGATATGACATGTGAAGCCTGGCCTCATCTCATTAATTCACTTTATCTGCTCTTGTAGTCAACAACACCTTCGTAACCCTACGGGCTACAGACTTGGCTACTACCTATATATTTCTTGACTTGAGGTGGAAGTGTTTGTGGTTTTGAGCGGCTAAAGAAGGATTTTTTTTGTAAAACTAAATTAACTAGGGTGTCTATATGATAGAATCAGAGTTTTTTAGCCAACCCCTTTTTTAAAACCATCTCGAGAAAACTATTGGTAGAAATAGGTTATAGCTAATTTTAAGGTTCATCATAATATTTCTAACCCTTTAGACTACTAACGCCCACTCACGTTATTATGTCTATTTACCCTAAAAATGCCTAAAAACGTAGTGGCACCGCCCCAGCTCTGTGTTATTAGAATATGGTAACTGGAATGGGAGATAACACTTAATCAAATTATTTTTTCCTCCTTTTCTCTCTATCTTTCTCATCTTAACACCATGTTATAACATGTAATAATATGAGGAACAGCACCTCCACTTCATGTTATAACATGTAATAACATGGGACACCGTTGTCCACACCCAATAGCCTTACATGTTAAACTCTCCATTCTCACTTTTAAAACACATTAGGCTTTAGGGTGTAGTAAAACTTTCACCGTCGGCATATTGATTTGACAATCTTTATCGACGGTAAACACTACCTCTCATCCAAATAATTTGTCGGCGGTAATCTTCACCAGTACACTTCCACCTCTCCCTCTCTCTTTCTCTCTCTCTCTCTCTCTCTCTCTCTTCATTTACTGTTCAAATTCACAATCTCGCTATTTTTCTTTTGCCCGTGGTAAACACAAACACCACATCCTAATCATTTTTAAAAGTTGCAAAAATGGCAAAGATGTCACCATTCCACTCTTATAGATTATACATTTTAGATCAAATATATTTATATTTTTAACCCTTTACATGCTACAACTTTAGTCATCGAACTGTTATATTATTTTTTGTTTGTATATTTTATTGTTAGATAATTCGACTTTTACTCTTACTTTATATTATATTATTTTTTGTTTGTATATTTTATTGTTAGATAATTCGACTTTTACTCTTACTTTATATTATATACAGATTAACTTATTTAAAAAGAAGTTACGATTACAATTTATATATTATTTTTAGCAAATTATATCATTAAATAGAACTTACAAATACCTAATATTAAATATATTATAATGTCATGAAATTACAAGATCAATTAAAAACGTTATTGCAATATGAAGTAAATGCAAAATTACGATATGAATTTAACACTAAGTTATAACATTTGTAAGGTTGTTTTTTAGTCTTAGATATGAGAAAATATTCGGTCTTAAATGTCCAAAATGTATAGTTTAAAATAAATTAATTTATGGTTCGAAATACATGTTTAAGGGTGATTTCTATAAAATAAATACATTTCTAAGGGCAATTTTTGTCAATATATATGGAATTATGTTTGAAATGTATACTCTAAAATATTTTTTCATCAGTATGGATGTAACACCCGTTCTCCAAAGTATGACCCTGCTTGCTAGTTGTTCGTTTAAAGATGAAATTGTAGGGTTTAGGCATAAGCACAATACACCTAAGTATGGATACAACGCTTCCTAGCTGGCAAATGAAACCCTAATTTCTGAGCTTTGGGCCCAATTTAAGGGTTCTAGCTTCTAGGGTTGCTTCCATTCTTCGCCTCCAACGCTTCCAAACCCATGACACTCAAAACCTTAGCATCTCTTACCTTGTTTTGCCTTGAAGTTTGGTGTTTATATGCTTTTTTGTGATTTTTGAAGAAGGAGCTAGTCATTTGGTACCTTGGGAAGCAAGATCCATCTAAATTATTATCTCTTCTTCAGCCACTAAACCCTTGTGAGGTATAAAGTCTCAACCTTTATGTGATTTGCTTCCTAGATCTAGGTATTTGGGCATATTTTAGTCCCTTTCATGTCAGTGGATAGTATTGGGGATATTCCAGGTCCTCAAAGGTTGTAGCTTTTGATCTTCTAGACCTATTGTCGTGAAAAGAATGAATTTCTATCTTACCTTTTCGTCCATACATGAATTTAGTAGCATTTGAACTTTTCTAGGATTAGGGTTTGAGATATGGCTTGTTAAGGACTTGTAAATAGATAAAGTTGAAAATTTTAACCGTCAATACCTTCTTATGATTCAGATATGGGAGTTAGAGCCTCTTGCTATAACGTCCCAAAAATACTAAATGGAAATTTTTTGCTTTTAAAACAACCAAAATATTTATTCATTCATTCCCAAAAGATAATCAGAGTGTAATTTGTCATCAAACATCAAATATAAGTCATAAAAGATAATGTGGAAAAACTTTGGGGGATGCAGTACGATCAAGTCGGGGGTCGAGTCTTTCCCTTTCGAACTAGAATTACTTGAAACATTTAAACATAAAACCGTTAGTACAAAGCTTAGTGATTTCCCAAAATACCACATACCATACATAACCATAAATATGCAACACGACATGTTTCAGTCATCGGGCCTATTTCATCCCAAGTGAAATGCTATGGGCCAAACCATAGACTTACAATCACTCCTGTAACGGCCTATTTCATGCCAAGTGAAAGCTACATGTAAAATTCATAGTCTTACAACACTTCTGCAATTGTCATGGCCTTCCTCATGGACTTTCATGCAAACATAACAACAAGAGTCACAAAGACAACAAGCACATCTGACACCTAGTATCCTACATAGTATAATGAGAAAACTCACCTCGCTGACGCAATCAACAACTAACAATCTCACACAAGCACAACGCGAGTGCTACATACCTCCTACAAAATCATACAAGGTAACCTTATTCTACCTTCTAAATTTGTAGTTTGACTAAAAGTCAACGGTCAAGGTCAACAGTCAAAGTCAACTCCAGCTGACCTCCATGTCATGGCCAACCAATGGTTACATCGTGGCCATCTAACTTGATCTCGATCAAAATCCACTACCACATCATGGCAGGCATGCCACCATGTCGGGGCAGAGTCCAGACAAAACAGTCGTGACCAAACCATCCTCCACGTCGTGGCAAGCAAGTCGCCACATCGTGGGAACTGCATAGAGACAACTTGATGGATTAAGTTCTCAATCAGTTAAGCCTTCATTTCTAACTTTCCAGAATGCTTCTTGGGACCTTAATGGTTTAGAAAAATATGAACTTTATGGACATGCATGACCCATGAATGTCCTTCACCCCATCTAGATCAAAATGATGAGAAAATGACCTAAAACCCATGCATGACTCTCAAAACCCATTCAACTTCTAGATCCAGGAGATATAGTGACCAAAGGACCAAGGCGATCCATAAGGTTGCAAACTTTATCTCATCTCATCACTTAAACTTCATATATAGACCACAACATGCTAAGAAGCTAGATATACAAGAAAGGAATCATAAAAATGGGAACTTAAGGACTCATAACTATTCCATAAGATGCACAAAAGAATGGAGGTGGCTTGCTTGCTGGATTCAATCACAAGATATTCCTTCATCTTCCTTCCAAGGTCATAAAAACACCAAAAATGAGCTCAAAACTTGCAATGATGTAACATCCATAAAAATCATGCCAAATTTAAACTTTTTTAAAACATTTAGAAACCAACAGTTATTACAAATTTGTTTTCAAAATAGTTCCATAGCAGAGTATCCCATAAACATAGTCATAAAATGTGAGGAGCTGTACGATCATGCCTTTGCCTTCCTGCGATCATCTGAGGTACCTGAAACCAAAACTGAAACTGTAAGCCCGAAGCTTAGTGAGTTCCGTCAATATACAGAGCCTAGCTGGGAAGAGGTACCGGGTTTAATACCCACGTGGGGTTAGACGTCGGGAGTTCAATCCCTGCAAAACCCAATTTGGATGCCTCTTAAACTTGTGCCACATGTGGGGAAATTTTCCCTGGAAACCCCTATGGGGGCTGGGTTTGCCCTGTAAAGGAGCTCGAACCCGGGGTGCTCGTTGAAATATGCGAGTAGGCTTCCGTTTAATCATTTTCCGTTTCCAAAAAAAAACAAATAATACACATAATAACAGCATGTAATGGGTCCATAGCTTTACAGACTAGATTACCCCCCTGGGCCCACAGTGTGAATCTAGCTTGCCTTCCGGGCCCACAGCTCACATCTGGCTTGACTCTGAGCCCACAGCATAAGTTTGGTTTGCTTTCGAGCCCACAACTTATGACTGGCTTGCCACCTTCAGCCCTACAACTGAAACATAACTGATTTGCCATCAGTACGATTCTGGCATACCACTTGGTCCTCAGCTCGTATCTGGTATGCTAATGAGTCCTCATTATGAT